GCCCTGAATTAATGGGAGCAGGTAGAGGAAGAGGGCAGGACTGGCGGGGAAGAGGGCGTGGTCGTGGGTTTGAAGGACGAGGTGGCCGCGGGCGAGGAACACGCCCTACTGGTAGAGCGAACACATCTCTAATCTCTGAAAATACCACTCAAACCATGAGCGTTCACATGACTGCTGAGGATTGGGAGAAGTGGTGTCAATTCAAGGAGCTACATTTAGGTGACAAGTCAACCGCTGAAGCACCTGCAACATCTGCCTCTACGGCCTCTGCAAATTTCGGTGGTAACAACTCTCGCACTATGAAATATAAATCCATCAATGCACCATGGCTATTAGATTCAGGTGCATCTAGACATATGGCTGGCTCCTACAAAAGCTTTATTGATTATACTCCTGAGATACAAAGGCAAAGCGTTAAATTAGCTGATGGCTCCTCCCAAACCATTATGGGATCAGGAACAATTGTGTGCAGCAATGATATATCTTTGTCCTCTGTTTTGCATGTTCCCTCATTCCCAATAAATTTACTATCCATCAGTTGCGTTACAAAAGAGCTAAATTGTGTTGCCATCTTCTTTCCATCATGGTGCTTGTTTCAGGAACTTGGGACTGGAAGAAGACTTGGGACAGGGAGCATGCATGATGGGTTGTATTATCTGGATAATAATATGTCTCCTGCGGTAGTAGCAGCTGCTATACCTCTTTCACCACTTGAAGAATTTCTTCTCCACCACCGCAGGCTAGGACATATGTCTTTTGTCACTCTCGGTCAACTTTATCCTGATCTCTATAAGAAAGTTAGCAAGGGGTGTCTAGTATGTGATGCTTGTCAATATGGCAAACAGACACGTAGCTCTTACACATCATCTGATAATAGAAGTGACACACCACTTCAAGTTATACATTCTGATGTGTGGGGTCCTAGTGGTGTTTCATCTTTAAATGGTTATCGGTCGTTTGTTACCTTTATTGACTGTTGTACTAGAGTCACTTGGGTTTATGTGTTGAGGAACAAGAATGATGTGTTCGAATGCTTTGTTGATTTCCACAATATGATCAGAACACAATATAATGCATGTATGAAAATATTTCGCACTGACAATGGCACGGAGTATGTGAACAAGGAATTTGATGAGTACTTTTCAAGTTTTGGGATTATTCATCAGACAACTTGTCCAGGTACTTCGGAGCAGAATGGTTTGGCAGAGAGGAAGAATAGACATCTTCTAGAAATCACTCGTTGCATAATGACATCTATGAATGTTCCTAAGTTTTTGTGGGGTGAGGCCATAATGACAGCTGCCTACTTAATGAATAGAATGCCATCCAGGGTACTTGGTTATAAAACACCAATGGAGTGTCTTACAGGTGAAACAAAATATGTAGTTCCTCCTAAGGTCTTTGGTTGTGTTTGTTTTGTGAAGGATTATAGACCATCGGTTGGCAAACTAGATCCAAAGGCATTAAAGTGTGTATTTGTAGGCTATTCCGGTACACAGAAGGGTTATAGATGTTGGTGTCCATCTGAGAGGAGAATGTTTGTGAGTATGGATGTGGTATTTAGAGAGCAAGAACCATTTTATGGTGAGCCAACAGATTTAACCGATGTGTTCCCTGATTTGTTTACTAATGAAACTTCTAGTGTGAATTGTGAGAAAGAAGAAGATGATGAAACATCAGGAAAGATGATAATTGGGGTAATTCCAGCAGAAACAAGACAAGAACAAAGACAGGGGGAGCCGTATGATACATCGAATGAAGCACTCCGGTGGCCAAGACCAAATGAGGAAAGGGAGATTCAGGTGTATACACGAAGACAACGTACCACAGAGGAGCAAATGCAAGTGCTGGAACCCGAACCAGAGGCTTATGGACAACACCGGGAGCAAGAGCAGGAGGCTGACCACCAGGATGATACGCAAGGTCAAACTAATGACACCAAATCTTCCTCGGACAGTGGTAACATCTCTTCTCAATATCATGACCTTGATGTTCCGATAGCTCACAGAAAGCAGCCACGGTCTAATGCCAGAAAATTGCCCTCTAAATTGGATCCTTATATGGTCTCCAACTATGTCTCGTATGATATTGTCGGTCCTTCTTACAAGTCTTTTATCGCAGCACTGGATGCTGCAGAACCTTTGCCACGGGATTGGCAGGAGGCAAAATTAAACCCAAAGTGGAGGGCAGCTATGCTGGAGGAGATGGCTGCTCTCGACAAGAATAATACATGGGTAGTTACACCACTTCCCAATAACAAGAAGGTAGTAGGATGCAAATGGGTGTTCACCATAAAACATACACCAGAAGGCAAAGTAGAGAGATACAAGGCAAGACTTGTGGCGAAAGGTTATAGCCAAACGTATGGGCTGGACTATGATGAAACCTTCGCCCCGGTTGCAAAGATGAACACCATTAGAGCTTTAATCTCGGTGGCAGCGAATAACAAGTGGAAGTTGTTCCAACTAGATGTGAAGAATGCATTCCTTCATGGAGATCTACAGGAAGAAGTTTATATGGAGATTCCACCAGGGTTTAATGGGCCTGAGACAGAGGGTAAAGTGTGCAGATTGAAGAAATCACTTTATGGACTTAAACAGTCACCAAGGGCTTGGTTTGGAAGATTTTGCAAAGAAGTCTGCTCCTTGGGCTTTAAACAGAGCAATGCCGACCACAGCCTTTTCTTTAAGCATCACCAAAACAAAACTGTCATATTGGTGGTATATGTTGATGACATTGTGATTACAGGTAATGATGATGAGGAGATAAGGAATGTGAAGAAGATGTTGGCGAAGTCATTTGAGGTCAAAGACCTCGGGTTTCTTCACTTCTTCTTGGGAATCGAAGTAGCTTATGGGGCTGAAGGTATCTATCTCTCTCAAAGAAAATATGTGCTTGATCTTCTCACTGAAACTGGGATGCTTGAAAGTAAACCTGCTGCCACACCAATTGAAATGAACCTTCGTATTACAGCAAATTCAGGAGAACCTGTTGATAGGGGGAGATATCAGAGACTTGTAGGGCGTTTAATTTATCTATCCCACACTAGACCAGACATTGCATATGCAGTTAGTCTGGTGAGTAGATATATGCATGATCCTCGATCAAGTCATCTAGATGCAGTAAATAGAATTTTGAGATACCTCAAAGGGTGTCCTGGAAAAGGAATTCTTCTTTCATATCATGGTCATCTAGAAGTTGAGGGATACACAGACGCTGATTGGGCTGGGTGCCTGGATGATAGGAGATCCACTTCAGGTTATTGCATCTTTGTGGGAGGAAATTTAGTCAGTTGGAGGAGTAAGAAGCAAAGTGTTGTCGCCAGGTCCACAGCAGAAGCAGAATTGCGATCCATGGCTGCGGGCCTATGTGAGTTGTTGTGGCTTCGATTATTGTTAACTGAACTTCGGTTGTTCAAAGGAGGACCACTTAAACTTCATTGTGATAATCAGGCCGCAATTAACATCATAAACAATCCGGTTCACCATGATAGAACAAAACATATCGAAATTGATAGGCATTTTATTAAGGAGAAACTTGACGAGGGAGTACTTGAAGTAGGCTTTGTTAAAAGTGGGGATCAACTTGCTGATGCATTAACAAAGGGTGTGAGTGTTGTATCATTCTCAAAATTGTGTGACAAGATGGGGCTCTTAGACGTTTTCGCCCCATCTTGAGGGGGAGTGTTGTAGGGTGTGAGTTACAGGAGTGTTGTAGGGTGTGAGTTGCAAAACAGGGAAGTGTGAAGGGTCAAAATGTAAATGGAAGGTGTATATACTGTGAGGAGGAATGGATCGATGGTTGAGGTTCTTCCAGAAATCTCTCATCTTTTCTCCCCCCTTCCCCTGTAGCTTTGCTGGAGAAGTGAGATCAACCAAAAGGCCAGACAAAAGGCACCGCCGCATTGGCCTTCCTAGGTGCTGGTAGATTAACCTGATTGATTTACCACATGTTTGGGGTCTACCAGTATTGCTTACGGTAATTCAGGACGGTCGTGCAATGACCACAGCAAACAAAAACTAGAAATATTGTGTGTAGATAGATACCCTGTACTACTGATCCACTGACAAGTGCAATAATACATATACTATTCACAATTGACACAATAACAGGTTCCATCTAGTTACACCAGAATCCAACAAATTGCCAGATAGATTATGCGGTACAAGGAACTCTAGCAATGGATACAAACGGGGCAAAGACAAAGAAAACGGCGACTCAACTCGGTCTTCCCGGCAAAGCATCAAGCAAAGAGTCAAAAGCAGTTCAACATCAGAACCATTGGACAATTCATGATGGAAACAGAAATAGTTCCCTGCCTTCACAGTGAAACCCCTTTCTTCTCTTCGTTCCGACTAACAAGCGGTAGATCCGCACACCAAACAGGCAGACAGCTGATGTAAAGCGGAGACACCACACGATATAGCACCACAGTTTTACCTTGATCTGAGGAAGTGCTTGGCACACCAGATGGAGCAATACCGATACTCAGACCCATCAATTCGCGTGGCTTCCTAAAATCGGCTTAACAGATAACATCACACTTGACGTTCAGAAGCCACACAGGTCTGTATTTTCTCATAAAATAAGTGTACATCGTCACAAGCTGGTTTCAACAGAACTAACAGCTTAAATAGCATATTTAAGTGTCACTAGATTCCAGGATAATACAAACTTAAACAAATTACAAACATGAGAACTAAACTTTTTTAGGACAAAGCATGAAATTGGTACGGATAACTCCTTTCAAAGGGATCAGCTAGATCCAAATCACGGACACAGAAATCCGTAAAACTGCCATGAAAATTATCCGTTGTAAAATGAAGCCGAGCACCTCCTGAGGCCTTCTTATCCAGTTGAAGCTTCTCACGTTGCCGTGTAAAAAACTCCTCTTTGAAATTACTATGATAAACCTGAAGAGTCATTAACTCTAGCACTCTCGCGTTTAGTAAAAAGAATGTGGCAAAGTCAACATCTGACTTGGTGCCCACATAATATCGTCAGTCAATTGTCTTCAGACGGATGTCAAGAGATCTTATTAGATTCTGGTGTTTACGGCGCCACAAATTCTTTTTCCCTGGCTGAATTGACTGACAAAACATAACCAAATGAAAAAGGCTCAGTTGAGAACAATAAGCAGATCATATGAGAAATGAATACTATGAACCATTAAGGAAGAATTATTACCTCAACGTACAGCCTTTCCAAGCAAGGAAAGCATCTCATCAAGTCAATAACAACATCCAAACTAAGAGCAATCATACGAACAGATAAAATCTTGACAGTGCGCACCGTCTTCGTCAAGCTATCAACACGCAATCCCTTGATGAAGCATGGAAGATGACATTATAAACCATCTATAAGTGCAGAAATTACATAATTCATCACCATAAGTGCAGAAATTGATCTAGAAGGCAAGTGGTACCTGAATAACTGTCGAGTATAGCGTGAGTGTGGTACTAAAATCATGTTGACAAAAATCAGATAAATGGGAAGATAGGCAGCCTAGGGTCTCCAATTTAGGTGCGGAGATTACCGATATATGTCGGGATTCAGCTGAGCCAAATAGGAGCAACCTTTCAAGACAAGGGGCATTCTCGATGATGACTTCCTCTAATATGATGAGCTCTCCCCGATAAGCTTCCACACCTATGCCTCTAAGGCTGATGGAGTTGATTCGGACACAACGGAAGCCAGAGCAGCGGCGAATCAGCAAGCACTCTAGAGCGGGGCAACCATCAATCATGGTTTGTAGTGAGGATTCGGATATGGTGACATTTTCAAGCCCGAGCTTGTTAAGCTTAGGGAAGAAAAGCGCCTGGGCCATGCTGTCAGGGATGTGGCACTCTCCGATGGTGGCAACGCCGAGGGTGTCAAAGAAGCGGAAGGCAGCTGCAGGCAGCGGCGCCGGCTGCGGTATTCCCCGTGGATACGGTAAGCTGTACTTGTAGTTGAAGCTGCAGAGCTCAAGCTCGTGGAGGTTGTCGAGGGCGGGGGGATCTGAGCCAGGCGTCGGCTCGGTCGACGGGGAGGTGGTAGACGGGCGCGCAGAAGCGGCGGCCGGGGCCTCGGTGTGAGGTGAGGATGCGAGACACAATGGCGTCGAGGCCCTCCGCGTGGAATAAGAATGGACGGTAGTCGAGGTTGAGAGGGGCGGAGCGCCAGAGGTGGCGCCACCGGGAGGAGAGGATCTGCGTGCGCGCGCCTTCCCTGGTGGGGAGGAGCGAGACGATGTCCCCGAGGACGCCGTCGGGAAGGCCGCTGATGCGGTCGCCGGCCCGCCACCTTCCGCTGCGTCCAGCGGCGGATCCGCCGTAGCTTCCGGGCCGCGCCCTTCTGCCGCCGACTTCCTCTTCTTCGAGCACGGGCCGCTCGCCTCCACCTCCATCGCCGGCGGGGTAGGGTTCGCCTCCGAGCGGATCGGAGGTGGTGCGGCCGTTTGGAGAGGGAAAAAAGAAAGGGGAAGCGCCAGGCATCAGATTACAGATGATCTCTTGGCATCAGACTAGCTAGTCCTAGACCATCCGATCCAACTTATACCCAACGCTCGATCTGTTAGCAAACCCCGTGCATCATTTGCTGGATTGAAGCCTCAATTGGCTGCTTCCTCATAACTGCTACGTGCGCATGCATGGCCTGGTGGTCGTTCCTTTTTTACTGATGTACTTCTTTCAAACAAATTGTTTGCTTCCTAATATATAGGCTCCGTGCAATTAGTTTGCTTCCAAGATTGATGCATCATTCCATCTAAAAAGAGGATTGGTGCATCATTTTGTCCACCTGATTTATTTCTTTATTTTAGATATTCTTTTTTGAGCCAACCATATTTGCTTCCATCATCAACTTAATAATATGCGTCATGAGCGTACAACCAAGTTTGTTTCAATTTAATGAAAATGTGTGATTATAAATGTTTATTTTGCTTCCAACCGAGCACCAATTTATTTCTATCGACTCATCGATTTGTTTCCGCTGCAACTCATTTTTTCTTCTATCAGGATAAATATATTTGCTTCCACTGTAGCTATACATTGTTTCCACAAAAAACGATAATTTACTTCCAAAGAAAAGGGAATCTGCTTCCATGAAACCAAATTATAATTAAATACAATCACAACACATTACAACAAAATATGATACAATTAATATTCAGGCCTGATATATATATCTGCAGGGAATCCCTGGATATTGTCTTGGGCTGCACCATGAAACTTGCATCGATCTACATTTTGTGGATGTTATAGAAACTTGCTTCCATCTCGGAAGTGTGGATATTATACAAATATTTTGCTTCCACGGTGAAACTTGCTTCCATCTACAGTGAATTCGCCTCCATGGCAAACAAACATGTTGTGATTTTACAGATTTTACTAAAAGAAATTTCTATTTATGCGATGCTATGCTTACTTTAAAAACATTAAAATGTCGCTTCCATCGACTAGATAATTCTCTTTACGAAATATGTATATGGCAACCGTGTGGCAGATTGCGAAACTACCACACGACCTCGGGGTGCTTCGATCGGGATCGTGCGACTGTTAGCGATATGCGCGGGGGCAGTTGCTCGACTGCGGGCGTGAGTGGCCTGGGCGTTGACCCGTAGGGCTAATTTCGCTTCGCCGCTGTGGTCCTTTCGTCCTCCACCTTGTCGACGGGAAGCTCCGCTGCGACGTCCGTCGTCCTCCTGCGCAACAGCCTGTCCATAGGAGCTTGGGCCTGACCACGCCATTGTTGTTTTCTCCTCGGCGGAGCCGTTTCCGGCAATCAGTGTCTCCTCACCGGCTTCCTCGTCTGTCTCTGTCCAAGTCGATCTCGCATTCGAGCACAGTGAGAATCGCCGTTCCTCCTCCACTCGCCCTGGTCGTATGAACCCGAGCGCAGGCCGCCATGCATGAGCTTGAGCTCGAGCATGGGAGCTCGGCCGGTGCACACACAGCAGGCACGCAAGGCCGCGCCCCGCTGCACCATGCATGTGCTCATCCGCACCCCTGCGCACCCCCAAGATGCCAAGGTGAAGCCTGGTAATTCAGGGTGAAGCTCCGTTGCAAGCAGCAGCCATGGCTGCAGACCAAGTGAAGCCTGGTGCCTGTCTGCTATAAAAAACCTCGCGCCGATACAACAACATGAAACTAACTACTACCAAGTGGCTAGTGCTATGAATCATAGCCTAGACCACCAGGGATCGATTCGTAGTTTTGCCCAATTTTTTTGTATCTCTGATTTTTTTTGCCATGCTGGTGTTGAGCAGTTTGTGGGTGGTAAAAAGAACAGTAGGTAATGAGGAACATTTTGGCCCCGAGAAAAAAACTATTGACAATTACAGTGGTAACAATTTTGACCCTAGAAAAAAGAGTTGTTGAAAACATATCCACCATCATTTTTTTGAATAAATAGTGTGGTAATATACGTACACACACACCTGATAACTTACACACAAATTTCATGGTAACTTTTGACTTAAGAAAAGAGTTGCTGAAAAGCATAACTCGCTAACTTATTTTTGCGGGGAATAACCTCGCTAACTTATGCGTATATCATGGTAGTTTTATGCCTCATAGACTTGATAAATTATGTACAAACATTGATAACTTTGGACGATTTTGACACAGAAAAAAGAGTTGCTGAAAACATATCCACTGTCATTTTTTGGATAAATAGTGTGATAACGTACGTAACACACACCTGATAACTTACACACCAATCCGGTGGTAACACTGACTCCGGGGAAAGAGTTGCTGAAAAGCATAACCTCGCTAACTTTTTTTGCGGGGAATAACCTCTCTAACTTAAGCTTATATCATGGTATTTTATGCTTCACAGACTTGATAAATTATATACAAACATCGATAACTTTGACCCAATGAAGTGTTGTTAAAAACGTGCCTCCGATAATTTGTGTAAATAATATGGTAATATAAACACCACATACCCGATAACTTACATACAAACACCTTGGTAACTTTTTGATACGGGAAAAAAGTTATTGAAATACATGCCTTGGCTAACTTACGTGTAAATAGTATGGTAATATATGTCCCGCATACCCAATAACTTGCATACAAATACCCCGATAACTTTAACCAATGATGTGAATAATTGTTGAAAAATATAACCACCCGATAACATATGTGAAAATAACACGGTAATTTACAAACCGTATACCCGATAAGTTACATACAAATCACGGTAACTTCAACCAAGAAGGTAAAAATTTGTTGAAAAACATATCCCCTAATAACATCTACAAACTATCTATCTGGCACACCACATCGTTTTGACAAAACTGCCGAATGACCTGGCTGCCCTTCGATCCCGATCGCTAGATCCACACGATGTTCGCTGCCTCCTCCATCCCCGCTCGATTCATGGGGGAAACCCAGCCGCACACTTTCTTCATCCTCTCTTTCGATTTACTCCCCAACCCCAAACCAACAGCTATCGCTTACGCCGGCGACCTCACCGTCTTGCGCCGTCCTCCGCCGCTACCCCTAGCATCTCCACCTCCCCTTCCCTCACCCTATCATCCTATCCGAGGCCCCAAATCGAGCATCCAGGTCAGTCGGCGGCTAGATCCACCACGGCCACTGTAGTAGGTCCGGATCCGCGCCCTCGTGACGCGACGGAGGTGATCGAGGGTGGTCGCAGCCACAAGCGCCGAGAAGGGTTCGAGACGGCGGAAGGTTGACGACGGAAGTGCTAGAGGGCTCGCGAGCGGCCGTGGGTGAACCATCTTGCCCAAGTCTGGATGCGGCTGTTCAAGTACAATGATACCCAGATGGGGAAGTTGAGCATTGTTGCTGGAATGGCACCATCGTACCCATGTCTGGACGCGGCTCAAACAAATTCAGCGCTCCACATGCAGGTGTTCAAGATGCCACTGGATACCAAACGAACAAAGTTATTTGAAAAACATACCCCTGTTAACATGGACAATAACTTACATACAAACACCTAGGTAAATTTCACCAAAGGGGGAAAAGTTGTTGAAAGCCACACCCCCCGGTAACTTGTACGAAAATAGTACGGTAAAATATGAACTGTATACCTGATAACTTACGTACAAACGCCACGGTAAATTTGACCAAGGGAGAAAAGTTGTTGAAAAACATACCCTTGATAATTTCTATGTAAACTATATGGTAATAAACCAAATCCATACCTGATAACTTAAGTACAACCATTGCGGTAACATTTTTTACTGTGGGGAGGGGGGAAGGAGTTGTTGAAAAATATACCACGAAAACTTGTATCTAAATAGCATGTTAATATACGAACCGCATACCTAATAACTTAAGTACAAACGCCACGGTAATATTTGACCAAAAATATACCCCGGTAACTTCTATGTAATTAGCATGATAAAAGATGAACCCCATACATGATAAACGTGCAGACACCATGGTATTTTGCATCTGGAAAGGAGGGAAAGGGACGCTCGGATTTGTGAACTCTGTCAACCGGTGTGAAACATGTAGAAAAATATATGGAACTAGGGTGTATAGTCCTAATACATGGGGTACAGGCGGGATCAAAGCACGGGGTTGTTCGGGAGGACGTGGTATCGAAGGGTAGGAGGTCGCCGTTTCTTTTACCTATTTTTGTGCGGGGATCAGGAGCAGCCTAGAAAAACGGGAAGGACGCGGGATCGAAGCAGCCCAGAAAATCGGGAAGGAGGCGGACTGTTCGGGAGGACGTTGGATCGCAAGGTGGGAGGTGGGTTGGTACTTTTGCAATCTGTCACACGGTTGCCAAATATCACTGTCCTTCTCTTTAACCAAATAAGACATTCTTTAGGAATGAACCATAATCATGAGTATACATGCTTCACAGACATGAACCTCGTCCAATTTGATGTAGACGGTGGGCCAAAAATGATGTTGTCTTGTGCCCAAACCGTGCAGGAGGGCACAACGCCCCCCACGACCACGGTCTCAGCAATTGTTGAGTCCGTGCATGCGACACGGAGCCCGTCAGCAGACTCCATCCCTGTAGTGTTGGGAACTTACCCGACACCGTCATTCTCGGGCCCTATTGACTGGGAGGCGATGAAGGCACATGTGTGGGAAAGCGACGCCCCGGCAACCAAGTCCCCAGGGACGCTGGTTGTTGTCTCAGCAACCGTGGCCCATACAACGTCGGGTCCTGCAAAGGCCGTGCAAGAGTGCATGACGACTCAGGTCACGCCTCGACCATGATGCTGACAACCATCAAGTCTGTGCAGGAGTGCACGACGACTCGGGTCGGCCATACCGTGACAACCAAGTGTCGGGGTCCACCATGTTGGTAGGAGATGGCTCCCCGAAAACGGAGTGTGTGTGTGGCTACATCTTCCTCAACGAGGAGAGAGCTGTGACCACACCCGCGCTTGTTGGAGACAAGCGCTGCGAG